CACTTAACTTTCTCACGTAGTAACGGAAATTTTGGGCTCAATTGTGGTCGTAAGTGTTGTGGCCCACCAGTCCGGCAGACCCGGAGGATGAGGAGGTTGGGGAGGAACTTGGGCCAGTTCTGGATTCTGGGGAAGGTTCCGATGGATGCTCAGTGTCGGACGCAGAGATCGAGCCAGGGCCGTCCGACATTTCCCAGCCATCGGAGAGGCAGCTGCCTTTGGAAGCTGATATGAATGAGGAGGAAGAACAGCTGGGGCCTCTTCCAGATGCGCGTATGCGCAGAGCTGTTGGGAGGGGAGAACAATGGAGGACAAGGAGTCGACTCGGGAAGCAAGGCACACGTGGATGCTGAATGGCCCTTCCCTGGCTGGGGAATAAATAGAAGGAAAGGGGAGTGGTGGTCGTAGGAGACAACAGTTCGTATTTCTAGAGATTTTGCTCATTGTGTTTCGTGCCACAAAGATTGCTTGCCAGAACATGATTTGCAGCCTTTCAGCTGGAGCTCGCAAGGAACTGATAAGGTCTATACTGCAGTTAACTCCTTGAAGGACAACTGCCTGGACTTTCGGTTGGTGAATGCAATTAATTCACAAGAGGTAAATAAAGAGGGATTTTTTTAGGACAAGGAGTCTGTTTCTTTTTTCTGCTAAGGCTGGGTCAGAACAGTAAGTTGAGGACTACCTGTATTGAATACTATGCCAAGGCTACCAATTAAGCCACACCCCTGCATTGTTTTCAACACCAAATCCTAGGAAGTTAACCCAGAGATCAGCAACCTGAGGCTCTGGAGCCGCATGTGGCTCTTTCATCTGCTGCGGCTCCCTGTTGCCGGTCAGCTCCACAATTAATAGAGCTTTCAGTTAGGGCAGGTAGAGGAAAAAGGACAACGCGCTAGGAGGAGACTCTATGGTGGGGGAACTGAACTTCTGGTTGGCTGCACAATTGAACGTGTGGCTTCCAGTTAGGACATTTGTGGCTCTTTGAGTGTTTAAGGTTGCCGATCCCTGAGTTAACCTATGCATCATTTCCTCCATCTGGTGCCCTACAGCTGCGTTAGGACTGTGCCTCCCAGAATTCTCCAGCTATAACACTACACAGGAGTGGAGACCAAAGGTGTGAGCTGATCAGCGAGGCCTCTAATGGAAAATTACCTGGTACATGTCCTGAATAATCCACAGACACCCGGAACAGCACAAAAGACAACAGACTGATCAGAAAACGATGGACACAAAGCACGATGATTTGTAAGTTGCGCTCCAAGAAGGTGGTTGAGTGACCTTGGAAAGCCTACCTAGCTATGCCAACCCTTCTTGTTTTCTCCCCAGACAATCCATGTAAGTGGCAAGTGCAACCTTGTGTATAATGGCTGCATATGCCACAGCAGTAGATTTATGTCTGTTTGTGGCCCTTTAAAATAACACCCGTAGAATAACACCAGTGATCTTCTGAATTAGTCCAAGATGCTGGTGCCCCTTGAGCAGAAAGCTATCTCTAACAGCCTTCCATCAGCTGGTGGTTGCCTGCTGTCCCTCTGTGGAATTCAGGGGAAAGTAGAGCAGACAGAAGAAACAACCAAAAAAAGACAATATTTGTAGGGNAGGTGGATGATGGATGACCCTTCCCAGAGGAAATAAAAGAGGAGCAAAAGGGAGTGGAGTTTGCAGGAGACAATTCGCTTAATTGGTTCATGACTCTCCGTTTTGCATATATTGGCCTGGCAGCTCTCCAAGCCAGATAAGGTCTGTGATTGTTAATCCTCCCTTGAAAGACTTTGTTGGACGGGAATGAGTTTGCTTCATGCTCTTGGAAAGCCTAGGTCAGAACAGTCCTCAACTTACAAGCATTCATTTAGTGACTGTTCAAAATTACAACAGTGAAAAAGTGACTTATGACCGTTTTTCACAGTTATGGCTTTAGTAGCATCACACTTATAATCCCTGTAGCATCCCCATGTTCACGTCATCAAAATTCAGATGCTTGGCAACTGGTTCTTATTTAAGATTGTTAAGTGTCCTGGGGTCATGTGATCGCTTTTTGTGACCCCCAAAATCAATGGGGAAACCAGATTTCCTTAACAACTGCAGTGATTTACTTAGCAACCGTGGCAAGAAAGGTCATAAAACGGGGCAAACCTCACTGAACAACTGAGTCGCTTAGCAAGAGAAAGTTTGGTTTCAATTGTGGTCATAAGTCGAGGCCTACCTCTATGCAGGCATATACAGAAAGACAGGAAGATGGAACAGGTGGGTAGATAGGTGGGTGGGTAGACAAAACCCATGGACAGACAGAAAGATTGACAGACGCGCAAAATATCAACCTGTGTTCGCTGAACACGGAATTATCCAGGACAATTTTCTCCAGCAGTTCAATAAGTTCATTCGGGAGGTCAGCGGTCATGAACGCTTTGACGGTAACAGAGACCTCTTCGGGATCCTGAGTCTCGGACAGAGCTGTTTGCACAACCTGCCAATCAAAGAGGTTGCAACGGTCAACCGAGGATTGCTTATTCCAAAGTCATCCCATGTGGAAGCAAACCCAGGGGTGTCAGAGAGCATACCTGGTCAATGAGAGGCCGCCGGTAAGGGTTGCTTTCTAACAGCACGCTGGCCCACAGTTCTGGATCCTTACGGCGCACCAGGTAACGGGACAGGCTCTTGAAGAGCGAGTTCTCGTTGCATACCTGGAGAACAAACGGATTGACACAATGAAGATAAGGGACACCTTTGGTGGGGAAAGGAACAAAGTTTTGTAGTACCAATGGGACAGAATATTTATAGTTGTGGTTTGGAATTATGGGGTCCTTTTTTTTTAACAAAAAGTTTTTTTATTAAACACACATTAAAATATTGGACATAGTGTAACCATCCTGGTAATGTCTTTGCCATACATATTAGAAGATAAAGTTAAATATTATAGCCACCGTGCTTATTTGCAATTGGTCTATTCAGTATTTACGAATATAAGGATATTGTATTTCCATCCATGTTGATTTATTCTTGTCTTATACGTTTTTACTGTTATGATTTCATACATAATTCTACTCTCCATTCTATAAATCTTAGTCATTGCTTATTTTGGGTCTTTCCTTTTTTGTTCCAACCATCNCCCAGACTGTGGGGGCAATATGCTGACTCTGTAAACCGCTTAGAGAGGGCTGAAAGCCCTATGAAGCGGTATATAAGTCTAACTGCTAGTGCTATCACTATAAACAACTTTAAAGGTGCATGGACTTCAACTCCCAGAATTCCTCAACCAGCCACTGAAGTACATATCCTGTTTCCCTGGATAATAAGCCCAATCGGGCTTTTGAGCGCATGCGCTAAAATAAGCCCTCCCCCAAAAATATTGCAACACAGTAGCAGCCATGAGGTGACCACATGAGGTGACCACGCTCCCGCCTCCTGCACCTCAAAAATAATAAGACCTCCCCGAAAATAAGGCCAAGTGCTGATTTCAGGGGTCAAAAGAAAATAAGACCCTATTTTTTAAAGCTATGTTTCTCAACCCTAGGACCTACGTACTTCAACTCTTTTAAAACCTGCCATGTTTCCCCGAAAATAAGACAGAGTTTTATTTTTGGGGAAACACGGTAGGTCTTAAAAGAGTTGAAGTACATAGGTCTTAAATATTCCTAGGGTTGGGAAACATAGCTTTAAGACATTCCCTTTGACTAAGATATTCATTAAGGGAAAAATGCTGTACAGGAAATCCTTGACTTACGACCAAAATTGAGCCCAAAATTTCTGTTGCTAAGCAAGAGAGCTGTTAAGTGAGTTTCGCTCCGTTTTACAATTGGCAAGTGTCCGAATTTTGATCACATGCTGCTGAAGTGGTTGTGTGAGAAAAACACTGATAAGTCACTTTTTTTTTTTGGTGCTGCTGTAACTTCGGACCATCACTAAACAAAGAGTTGTAAGTTGAGGACTTCCGGGAACTGCATATTTCCAATTCATTCAGATTCCAATGCTTCTCCCTCTTCCGGAGTTTGGTCTCACTCCAAGCATCCCCCATTGCCTACCAAATCTCACTCACACCCCTCCACCTGATTCTACCGCCTCCTCTGTGTTCCGACCTTCAGTTGGCTAGATTCCTACTCCAGAGCCTCCTCAAAATCCTAACACTGGGTACCTTACCCGAATGATCCCTCTTGCTGAGTGTGTTAAAGCTGCAAACAAGCACATCGAATCTAAGGATTGTGTGTTTTGCAAGCCCCACGAAAAGATCAGAGCAGCAACTACAGCCAGACTCCCTCCCTACTTCCTTTCTCTTACAACCACCTTGTGAGGTGGGTGAGGTGAGAACCCATGACTAGCTCAAGAGCATCAGGGCAGGGTGGAGATTTGAACCAGCTCCTCTCTTCCTCCTTCACCCCTCCGAGGCTCCCAAATCCTGCCTAAGAAACTCCATCCCGTTAACAACCAGCAGACAAGAGGAAGGAAGGGGAGGGGAATAAAAAATAAAGGAAATGCTACGTTTGGGTGGCAATTCTTACAAACGTCACCCAGTCGCCTTGCAGGGGAGGCGGACGGCATAAAAATTTAATAAGCAATAAATAAAAGGGGCGGGGGATGGGGGAGCTACTGAACTTCCCAACCCTGCAGAGATGGAAGGCAGAAGTCTAATCCCAGAATTAGAATAGAATAACAAGAGTTGGAAGGGACCTTGGAGGTCTTCTAGTCCAACCCCCCTGCTTAGGCAGGAAACCCTATACCATTTCAGACAAATGGCTCTCCAACATCTTCTTTAAAACTTGGAGCATTCAGTGTTGGAGCATTCACAACTTCTGAAGGCAAGTAGTTCCACTGATTAATTGTCCTCACTGTCAGGAAATTTCTCCTTAGTTCTAAGTTGCTTCTCTCCTTGATTAGTTTCCACTCATTGCTTCCTGTACTGCCCTCGGGTGCTTTGGGGAATAGCTTGACTTTCTTAATCTAAGGATTAAGAAAAACCCTCAACCTGCAGATTAAAAGAAAAAAAAAGCCAGGAGGGAAGCACTCACTTGCTGAATGTGGGCGTTGTTGGGCCCGTTGATGAATTCTTCCAGTTCGGCCAGGCGGTTTGTTTTAGCCAGTGCAAAGATGAGCTCCGTCTCCACGTAGGATTCTCGGGCCTTTCTACGGGCCATCTGCAAGTACTTCACCAGCTCTTCCCAGTTGCCTAAGTGGGGGACAAAAAAAAGGGGAGGGGGGAGGCAGCTCCTAGTCACATTGCAGGATCCATTTGAGGGCCGTTCACTTCCTATCCTTCAAAAAGGAGACGGGAGAGAAGGTTTTAACGGCCATGGTGATGCCAGCCTCGCCGGGGCAGTGCTCAGTCGGTGACAAATGTCCCTTTAAAACCAGGACTGGGAAAGGGGGGGGGGAGGAGGAGGAAAGAGAGAGGCATCCCAGCATGTGCAGCCCTGGTGAAATCAAAAAGACTGAGCCATCAGTGTGCCGATTAAATTCTACTTGACACTCGGGCTGTGTGTGGAATTTTATTAGAGCCAAACAGTTGCTCAATTCTTGCACAGTGGAACACAAGCTTCCCAAAACTGGGAGGAAGGGAGGAGGGGGAAAAAAATCAGGTCAGCCAAACAATCCACTTCTTTGTCATTCACTCGTTATACTGGGCATGTCCGTTCACACATCTGTTGCCGAATAAATGCACTTCACAAGGACACGGGCTCCTTTCCTGTTGGAGAGGGGACGACGAGTAGGCTGCGTACAGACGTGCGCAGCGAAAGGGATCTGAAGAGAGAACCGTGTCGAATTGCATTCCCTCGGGGAAAGAGACGGGAAAAGGGGACAGCCAATGTTCATTTCAGAGGCTTTTGTTGTTGTGACTTTTGTAATCAACACAAAGGAAATTGAGAAAGCTGGCAGAAACTGGGGAAAAGATGAGTCAGTGGGACCCTAAGCGATATAAGAGATCCTTGGTGCTCTCTGAGCTTGTTTTCTTGTAGATATTTCATTACCTAACGAGGCAAGTGTTGCGGCCCACCAGAGGAGCTGGGAGCAGATTCGGACAGTGAGGAGGTTGGGGAGGAACCTGGGCCAGTCCTGGAGTCTGGGGAAGACTCTGATGAGGGCTCTGTGTCGGAGGCAGACAGGGGCCCAGGGCCATTTGACAATCATCAACTGCCTTCAGCGTCGGAGAGAAGTGGGAAAGAGGAACAGCCAGGGCCCGTTCCATATGTGCGGATGCGCAGAGTTGTTAGGAGAGGACAACAATTGAGGACCAAGGGCCGACTCCGGAAGAAAGACACACAGGGGGCGCTGAATGGCACCTCCCTGGCTTGGGAATAAATAGAAGCAAAGGGGGAGGAGTGTCTGCAGGACATTAAGTTTTGCTTATTATTGTGAAGCTTTGCTTATCCGAGTTCCTGTCTCAGAGAGACTCCTTGCCAGGTATTTCATGGAACAGCTTTGCCACTGGAAGCTCAGCCTGGCAACCATCCAAGGACCGATAAGGTCTGTTTTTGCAATTAAACCTTGAAAGGCTTATTGCTGGGGTCTTTTCTGGTTGTGAATGCCAGGAATTCATATTAACCAAATAAAAAGGGTTTGGTTTTTTTTTCGGGACAAGGAGTCTGTTTTGTGATTCTGTTAAGCTTGGGTCAGAAGACTAACCGCCCCGCGGGCCGGATGCAACCTGCGGGCCTCGAGTTTGACACCCCTGATCTAGAGCCACGGGAGACACCTTTTGTGTACTCACGAAGGCTACTTCACGGGGAGAGGAAGAAAAACAAGGCCCCCTCCTTACCACTTGCGTTGGCAGCCTGGACAACTTCCATGTAGGACGACGGGTCGTCGGCTTTGATGTAGGAGTCGATGGCTTCCTTCACCATCCCTTTCTGGAGTTGGGCTTTGGCAAGCTGGCTCCACACCGCCGGCTCATTGCAACGCTCGGCAAACTCATAGGCCCGGTCCAGGTTCCCAATGTGCTCGATCAAAACCTAGGAAAAGAGAGAGCGATAGCTTTCTATCACCAGAGCTTTGCGAAGGTGGGCTCACTTATTAAAGAATCCAAAAGAACAGGGTAAGACTTGACGTAACAGACCTCAAGTCAGAATTTATCCCCCCACCCCCACCCCTACAAAAAGACCCCAAAGGGGGAGACTCTCGGCAGCAACACAAGCGTTCATTGCACGTATCCAGCCCAGGGGGGCGTAGTTTGAGGATCCCTGATTTAATGCAATATAAAAAATGCAAATAATTTTTCTGCGGGGGCCACCAAAATTTTCTCAACAGACCACAGGTGGTCCACGGAGCACCAGTTGGTGACCGCTGACCTGGATGACTGAAAATCTCCATAGACTGAGTAGTGTACTGATGATGTTACCTATTTTGGTGGTGAAATGTCTGCAAGAAGACTACCAAGCCCAACAGAGCACCAAGGCCCACGCAAAAAAAAGAGGGCGTCATAAATGCAAACTTTAGCAAAGGCCAGATGGGTTTTAGAGGCGCACCAGGAGATGGAAGTCAAGACCAACGATAAAAGCCACTTTCAGCCGTCGTTGGCACGTCAAGTTCGGTTCTGAAGGGCCGAAGTTACCTGGACGGCAGAAGTGTTAACGTCAAATTTCCGAAAGATGGCAAAGGCTTCTTCAAAGAGCTCGTTGCTGATGGCGATGTTGGCGATGTCAGGGGCATCATAGTTATCCAGGCGATTGATGTATTCCATGACCCGGGTGCGATCGGCCTTGATGGCTGTCAGAATGAGCAGATTCTGGAGATTCCTTTAAAAAAAAAAAAGCAATTAAAAAGGCCAATGGATCATCAAGACAAGCTGGAGACTTACTGGACTTCAACAGATAAATTTAAGACGCATGTGGACTTCAACTCCCAGAATTCCCCAGCCAGCAAAGTGCCTCTTAAAATTATCAAAGTTTGGAAACACTGTTTTAGACACCACGGGTCTTATCTCTGATTTGTCTATTTTAAGATTCTGAATAGTGAAAAGAAGAAAGTCACTTCTCCAAATACAGGTAGTCCTTGTTGTGGCCCACTAGCGGCCAGCGGAGCTGACAGTAGATTCGGAGAGTGAGGAGGTTGGGGAGGAAGATGTGCCAGTCCTGGAGTCTGGAGAAGACTCTGATGAGGGCTCTGTGTCGAAGGCAGAGATGGGGCCAGGGCTGTCTGACAGTTATCAGCTGCCTTCGGAGTCAGACATCAGTGAGGCAGAAGAACAGCTGGAGCCTGTTCCCAGTGGGCGCATGCACAGAGCTGCCAGACGAAGGGAACAGCTAAAGAACAGGGGTGGACTTGGGAGTAAAGCCACAGGTGGATGATGGATGACCCTTCCCAGAGGAAATAAAAGAGGAGCAAAAGGGGAGTGGAGTTTGCAGGAGAGAGTTAGTTCACTTCATTGGTTTGGGACGCTCCGAGACTCCTTCCCAAGTTTTGCAGATACCAGCCTGGCAGCTCTCCAAGC